GCTGTATAAGTCTTGAAGTAACTGGTGCTAATTTTGATCCAGGAGCCCAAGTTGTGGTATGGCATTGGTATTCTCTACGACCGATATGGCTCTCTCGAGCACGCCGAGGAGGCCTTCTCCCAAGTCATGCAGATGCAGCCCGATTTCGAGAAGGCAAACGAAATCTACTTCCGTCTCGGTATAATATACAAGCAACAGCAGAAGTTTGGTCAGAGTTTGGAATGCTTCAAGTACATTGTCAACTCCCCGCCGCCTCCCCTGACCGAGGAGGATATCTGGTTCCAGATTGGACACGTCCACGAACAGCAGAAAGACGTAAGTCCTTCAATCCCAGGCCGATGAAAGCTTTTACTGACCTCCACAGTATGATAGCGCCAAGGCTGCTTACCAGCGGGTCCTCGAGCGCGATCCCAGTCACGCAAAGGTCCTGCAGCAGCTCGGATGGCTTCACCACCAGCAGAGCAGCAGTTTCCAGAGCCAAGAGCGCGCCATTGAGTTCTTGGAGAAATCTGTCGCTGCTGACCAAGGCGACGCGCAAAGTTGGTACCTGCTCGGTCGGTGCTACATGTCCCAGCAAAAGTACCCCAAGGCGTATGAGGCGTACCAACAAGCCGTCTATCGTGATGGGCGCAACCCCACGTTCTGGTGCTCTATCGGTGTTCTCTACTACCAGATCAACCAGTACCGTGATGCGCTTGACGCCTACTCTCGCGCCATCCGCCTCAACCCCTTCATCTCTGAGGTGTGGTACGACTTGGGTACTCTGTACGAGTCCTGCAACAACCAAATTAGTGACGCTCTGGATGCATACCAGCGCGCTGCAGAGCTGGACCCCCAGAACCCTCACATCAAGGCGCGACTCCAGCTGCTTAGGAACGGCGGCGCCAACGGTGGGCAGCCCCCTTCCGCCCCTCAGCCGGCCGACGTTCACCCGCAGGCCTACCAAGTCGGTCCCCCGGCTCCTCAATGGGGAAGCTCTGCTCCCAGCGGAGGCCAGCAGCAAGGACAGCAGCCGCCTCCGCCTCCCGGACCCAACGGTCCCGGCCCTAACGGTTGGGGCAGACTCGCGGATATCAACCCCCCTCCGCAGCCCCCCAACCCTTACGAGCAGCGCGGTGAGCCATTCCGTGGCCCCGCGCCTCCCATGCCGCGCCAGCCTAGCCCGAGACAGGAGCAGCAGCAGCAACAGCACGGCGGTCGCCCGCCCTACCCCGAGTCGATTCGCCGGGGCCCGACCCCCCCTCCTCCCTCCCACTACCAGTCGGGCCCGCCGCAGCAGTCTCAGCAGGGCCACCAAGCCCCTCCCACCTCGGCGCCTCGTATTCCCAACCCCAACTACTCTCAGCCGTCGTCTGCTCAGATGCCTCCCATGCAGACCGGCCCTCCGAACGGCCCTCCGGGCCCGCCTTCTCAGTTCCGCGGCACCAACAGCCCCCGCCCCGGTGAGAGACCCATGCACGACAACCGCATGCCGTCCCCCAAGTCTGCGTACCCTCAACACCAGGCGCCCCCACCTCCGCCTTACGGACACCACCCTGACGGCCCCACACCCGGTCCCATGGAGGGGGCACACCCGCCTCCCCCTCCTCCGGGCGCGATCCCTGCGGACTCTGCCGCCCGCAGCGAGCATGATCGCCCGTCTTCCGTTGGACCCAAGCGCATGCGCGAGTGGGAAGAGGACTCTGCTCACAAGCGGCCTGCCAATGACGAGAACCGCGCCAGACTGGACGACGTTCGTCCTAGACGTCCGTCTACCCCTCCCGGCTCTCGCGACCTGTACCGTCGCAACTCATCGGAGGCTCGCCGCTTTGAGGACCAACGTCGCGCCGAGGACCAGCGCAGGGCTGATGACCAAAGGAGGGCGGATGACATCCGCAGGGGCGAGGAGCAGCGCAACGCCAACGACGGCTATCACCCGTCGGAGGCTGCGCACCACCAGCCGAGCCACCCCATGCCCTCTAACCACCTCCCACCCATGCAGTCGGCCGCTGCGCCGATGCAGAACATTCTCCATGATGGTGGCGCCCAGAACGGCCCGTCCGGACCTCCCTCCGGTCCCGCCCCGGGTGTCAAGGAGTACCCTGCTGAGGAGAGAGCGCCCATGGAGCACACTCCCGCGCCCCGCCCGCCTCAGCCCAGCGAGCCGGAACGCGCGGCTCGCAAGATGGACGTCGACGAGGACTATGATGACAGCGGCGAGGATGAGAAGAAGGCCGCCGTGGCCACGACCAACGGCTCGGGCCCCGCTCCGTCGTCAGGAGAGACCAAGACACCAACAAGTGCAAGCATCAACGGCATGATGGGGCCCACCCCCAAGGTTGAATCGACATAATGGATAAATAGCAGTATGACTTAGTTGTTTTCTTTGTACGCGCACATTGTGTTCACTTTTCATGTATACCATTTCGTTCTCAAATGCGCGCTGGCTCGAGAGGACCTTTCGTTGAGGAGCAAACTGGTGTGGCTGGGCAATTAGGTAGCTCATGAAAAGAATCTTAGTCCCCATCTAAACATGTTTCGAGTAACTGAATGTTGATGAATGTATATGCATGTACTGTTTGGCATTGCTCATGGCAATCATGGCGCTGCGCAATGCGGACACCGCGGCCATGGCTCCTGTTACTGTCCAAGAAGCTTGGTCTCCTTTTCCATTTCTGTACCTTAGTATATATATATTGTACCTCGACTGCCCGAGAAGCCCGCGTCAGGGGTAGCAGAGGTGTCGAGGAGGCCACGGGTGCAGACGGAGGTGCAATGTGCTTTGACTGCTTTCCCCCCAACCCCACACTGGGTGGGCTGGAAATTTCATCAGTATAAAAGTCTCATACCAAGAAATACTAGGGGCCCTGCAAGAGAAACCAATCCGGTTTTGGTCCGAACATGAGAAGTCCAGTACCTTCTTGACGCCTCCGCTTCCCTTGAAGTGGGCTTCTGAGGCGTCGGTAGCTTCGCAGTGTACTGAATCAGGGGTCTGGAATACGATGTGTTTAAGCGACAGAAGGGGGCAGACGCCGTCAACGCAATGTGTGGTACGCGTAAGTCAGACGTCGATGGGGGCCAGCTTCACAGACCTCGAGTCGAAGAGCCCCAGCGTCACCAATGGAACAGCTATCCTGTGATTCGCGAAGGACAGAAGATGTCGATCTATTGCTTTTAGCGCAGTAAGGGGCTACCAACGGCAAGGTCGATATGGCACAAACACCCGTAAAGTCGGCCTTGCGGATGGCTCTACTTTCTTGGCTGCGGATGGAGCGAATCATCCTTGTCGCCATGATCTGCGAGCTCAAGTTTGTACCGACGGTTGTGGATAAACCGAAGCACTTTGGTGGCCTGGTTCCTGGTGAATTAAAGTTGCGATTCGAAATGGACAAGAATTGGGATGCGATAAACACCAGACTCGGGAGGCACTAGACGACGGCGATGGAGGACAGCAACTGTGACATCGCCGTGGCCTTCTCGACGCCTCTGCCGCCCTTGAGGCGGGCTTATCTGGCACTAACAAAAACGATGGCCACGGTGTCAGCATTGCGCAGCGCCGTGAGTTTCATAAGCAATCCCTTGAAATGCCAAATAGCACACATATGTTCACAAATAAGCTACACCAGATAGAAAGCCTGACGAGATCCCTGGGCTGGGAGGAGGGAACGTTACCTAGAGCTGTTATCAATATTCGAAGATACAAAGGCAAAGGGGGGCTTCTGCCTCTAGATGAGGTTGTTATTGTAATGTCTTTCCTTCCCAGGTGACTCTCAGGAAGTCGAGGAAGCCCCGGCTCGGGCCCCATGGCTGGTCATCGATAAACTTGCAACTTCTTAGGCGATAAACAATGGACAACGACGGACGCGGGAGACGCCGGACGACGACGGCGGTAGCTAGAGACGTTCTTGTTGGTCCAGACGCAAGGTCAACAATAAGTGGTTCAGCATATCTATCAAGTCCACGAAGCAATTTGTTCCGTGTCTTCTAACACCACCTAGGAAGGTAACACAGCAAGAATGGCGTTGGTTGTGTCGAACTCACATTAGCATATTGCGTTAACAGCGTCCGCCCCCCTTTCCCCTGCTTATACAAAATCGTATTCCAGACCCCTGATTCACCGTGAAGCTACCGACGTCCGCCTAGGGGGAAGCGGAGGCGTCGAGAAGGCCACGAGACAGAGGTGCTTTGAATTCCTCCCCCTCCCTTAGAGTGGTCGCGATAATCTGTTGGCAGGTACACCTTCTTCTCGCCAGGGAAGTTGGGAGGTCTGTCACAGCCGCAATAACGTGGGAACATAAACCTTCTTCTCTCTAAGGACGTTTGGAGATCTGCCGCAACCGTGAACGTGGGAGCGTCTACACAACGTCTGTTTAGTCCCCTTTCACTAGGTTCATTTTCACCTACTCAATTCGCCTTTTCGCCCCAAGTTAGTATAAAATGGCATAAGTCAACCTAGAAACAAACGCAATCCTTCTTGGACTCTATGCTGCGAGGGCACTGAATATTTGACCTCGCTGCTCTCGGCATCGCTGAAGTCAACAGAACTGGAAGCTCAACTTCATGCCACAACAGTCGTGCAGGACAGCAACGACAATCCTCGCAGATCATAATCTCAGCATGCAAATTCACTGTCAAAGGTAGCCCTGAGGCCTGCACACAAAAGTGCTATCTACTGTTTTTTTTGCTATCTACGAAAACTATCTGATGACAGGCCTGATGCTCTGTACTATCTTTTTTTTGTTTCATCCATAAGCCCTGATTAGTTCCCCTAGTTTTGTCCTCGCGTGATTGATGACCTGAAAAGCCGTTTGAAAACAATCTGGAAGGCTGATCATGCTGCAAATGTCAAGCGTGTGCGTTGTCGCTTGACCTCCGATAATGATAAAATACTCCGTATCCGAATGCCCTACCGTGCCGTGTAAGACATGTAAGGCCCCAATTCCGTCGTTTTGAAATTCCCTCTGTCACATCCCACTTTCTGTCCCTCTGAAATCGAAGGCATCTTGGCTCGGTCCCAAGTCTCAACCCACGACGGCAAACTCATCCACAACATCGTCCTCAGCATCATCCTCGTTCGTGTCAAGCTCGCCCTTCAGATGGTAGACATTGTACTCCGGGAGAGTAGGGGGGTGCTCCGCTGCCTGAAGTTGGCTCGGGAACACTGGCACAAGACCCGGGTAGTTGGGCAACGTGTAAACGTAAGAGGATCCTTCCGTAGGCTTCCTGGTCTGAGTGAAGATGTCCTTGTTGATCCAAACGCAAGGTCGGCGATAAGCGGTCCAGCAAATTTGGCAAGTCCATGAAGCGATTTGCTCTGCAGTAGCTCCCAAGCCGACGATCTCGTTGGGCTCTATCTCGCCTGCTGTAATCGGCTGGCACTGAATTCGCTTGTTGCCAGTAGGCAGTCTCGATGTCGCAAGGGCACTGCAGACGGCGCACTTCCACTCGAAACCCTCGGGCTTGGGTCCTATCATGAGGTTCGGCCAAGTCTGCTGGATGGCGTTCCAATTTTTCAAGAACGTGACTCTCTTTGGGGACTCGGCATTGTTGTACTTGGTTCGGGGAATGAGGCGGACGGCCTGCTCCATGTGGTTCCAGACGACATTCTTGACATCGACGTTGAGCGAGCGCGCGAGGAAAGGAGGAGGGCTCTGGTAGCGACGGTTGTGAATGAACTGGAGCATTCTCGTTGCCATGATCCATGAATCGTTGTAGCTGATGTCTCCTCCCACATTTCTGTGGTAATGATCGGTTGGCAGCTGGATATTGCGCCGGGAGAACGTCTCGCTGTTCTGGACATTCACCGAAACCCACTTGCTGGTCGTCTCATCGTGCCATGCGGCGGTGACAGCAAAGGAGTGAAGCTCGTCAGAGTTGTCCCAAGCGCCATGGTGAGGACCTCGGTACCAAGGGGTGGCATGCGGCTTGCCGTCGTCCATGGATTGAATAGACATGACCAGAGGCGTGTCGATCGGGGGCGCTGGGTTCAACTGGTCGAGAGAGTAGCAGAGATTCCAGCTCGTGTCTCCAGTGACTGGCACCTTGACCTTGAAGATGCGACGACCTCCAGCTTGTGATACGCGCGAACGAGTGCGGAACACTGACATCTCGAGTCCTTCGCAGGTGATGTGGTAACAATTCCAGCCATGACTCTGGCCATGAGCCTCCTCGGCTCTTAGTCCGTGGAGCTGTCCAACATCGACGTCTGCCTTGCGAATGGCAACTGCGCAGCTGTTAGCATTTTTTGGTCACAAAGTGACCACTTGACTATGGCCAAAAGCCCGCAAAACTCACCTTTCTGAAGTTCGCCATCGTTGTTCATCAGCTGGCAGAGGACGTAGCCCTCCATGTCCGGGGCGTCGCACATTAAGTAACCGATCCGGCCCTTGTCGACGTCACCCTCGATACGGTTGCCCTTCTGGTCCTTCATGATGACTTTGGTGTCCCTGTTGACTGTGACCGCTCGCATTTCCTCAGGACGAATGACCCGGCCGTTCGGGAAGGAGTGGCCTTGGGGTACCGACGTTACGGGCGCCATCGTGAGGTGCTCGCTGTGGTGGCCTTCCTAGGTGGTGCTTGGAAGAGGAAAGTATGGCTAGGAAAGTAGGAGAAGGGGAAGGTGGTCGAAAGCCGAATGTGCTAGAAGGTGCAGAGGTAAAGGTAGGCTTCCTTTGCCTCTAGGGGAGATGAATATTGTGATGTCTTCCCTTCCCAGGTGATGTTGAAGAAGAAAGATTGGGACGGGAGAGGAGAGAAAGCTTTCCGAAGAGTGGGATGAGAGAAGAAGGGTGGGATGGAAAAGTTCGAAGGAGGGCAGGGTTTCTAAAGGCACAATTTGGTGCTGCCTGAGGTGGGAGGTGTAGAAGGTGAAGGCGGCCTTCAGCTCCTGAGATGAGGTGAGCCGAAACTGCTGCAGTGAATGTGAGGTGAGAATTTTGTGGTGTGTGAGCCAGAACAAAGCGACAAGACAGGAGAGAGTGCCCATTCCAAAATGCTGCAGTGAAATGAAGCCCCAGGGCCTTGGGGCCCTCAAAGAAACTGGCTGGGGCTCGAAAGGGGAGAGAACTGCTCCAAAATAGGTAGACTGGAGGTCTCACCTATCTCGATGGACTTGGGCCTTTGAAGAGGAAGGCTTTGGGTGCTCTAAAAGAAGCTTGTAGATACAAGTCTCTACAGCCACCTCTGTAGAGATCTTTAGGGGTCTATGCAAGACCTAATTCCATTATGCTAGGTTCGAAGGATACTTGAGTATTGGATATGACGGCAAATACAATGATGACAGAGAAGACGACGGCAGAGACGACGACGGCAGAGACGACAGCAGAGCTGCAGAGAATACAGTTACCATGGCGCATTCAGACAAATGTCTCCTAATGCGATCTTCAGCTGGTGGCTTTTCCAAACGTTCTACCAGTTTCAGGACGTGATGGTATGTTTTTCTACCGAGACACAACCTTGATTCCCCATCTGTGAATCAGCGAGAGAAATACCATGGCCATATTAAGTCCACTTGCGAGTAATGTAGGGAGGCTGGGTTATTCGAGTTGCCTGTCCTGTAACGACGCCATATCCTTCTCGACCAGATTTTGCAAGGTTTTCAGATGTTCCTTTCTTCGTGGCTTCTGGGAATGCTTCAAATCGTGTTCTACATCGAGTCTGTGTTGGCCGTTCTTCGAGATACGTATCGTTAATTGGTCTTCAACTCATCCTACGTTGCATGTCACGTCGTGGGTTGCGATGTCGAAGGTCCCTGACGTCACTTATCCCTTTGCTGGGAGGAGAGGATGGACCTAGGATCGCCGGGAGGGAGGTGTGAAAGCGTTTATCCATTGATCAGGTCTGCATCGTTGTCCTCAAAGCAGTTCGCAAAGTCGGTCGCCCACGTTAGCTCACTATACAAAACTCCATCTTCCACTTACACCGACCGATCACCGTCTGCCAACTCCCGCCAGCCTTTCGTTGGCCATTTTATCCACCCCGGGCTGAGGAATCTGGTTCTCTGCAGGGTGTGGGCCGATCAGGGGCTTGGATTGAGAGATGGAGATAGCATGGGCTATGCCGTGCCTTGCTGGGAAGTAGAGATGCTGCCAGCGTTAGCGTTCCCTCTAGAACTTTGTCTGTTTGAAAAATGGATGTCGGCGTAGACTTGTGGAACTAATAGGCTAGCAGTCTTCCCGGGATCAGAGTGTCATTTGCATTAAACATGAGAAGGAACAGTTAAGACAACGAAGTCATCGAGGAAGGAAAGCTACTCGCGAGCCGACGAAATTTCTGGGTTTCATGCGTTTTGAACTTTTAGATACCAGGAGACAGAAACAAAAGGAGGAGCCACTAGATACTCAACGACTGGGCCAGAAAGGAAGAAAGGTCAACTGTGGCATTCTTACTCCTGTGGAACGCCCGGCGCAGACTTATCGAGAAAGGACAGCCGCTCACAGGACAACAGTCTTCCGGATTTATTCGCATCAGATATTCGGACGTGAGGGATGGCTAAGAGGAACCGGCTTTTGCTTCGACGGACCCGGAAGAGACACCGGACGACGAGGACGACAACGACAACGACAACGACAACGACAACGACGACGGGGAAAATAACGGCAGTAACAAGGGAGACGGCGGAAGCAAGTGCAAGAAGAAAAGAATCTGATACGAGGGGTTCGAGATCAGATGTACAGTACAATGATGACGGACGAAGACGACTACGATAGTGACAGAGGCGGCGACGAGGAGGAGAGACGACAGCAACAAGTACGGCAAGAGCAACAGCGAAAGTAAAGAAGGCAGGAATATAATAGATGCCTAGTGTTCCAGGTTAGTTGTCAAATCTAACTGGACGACGACGGACGACAAAGACAATGGAGACGACGACGACGACGACGACGACGACAGAGACAACAGCAGCACTGGGGGCAGGCATCTGGCTCGATGAAACTAAGATTCTGAGACGGCGGCAGAAAGTGGAGATGGTCGGAACAGCACGTGATCTGGACCGCTCTAGTGCATCTGCACGGACCAGATGAGAAGCAGGATTTTTTTTTTCGGGAAGGAGGCACCTACCTTATCGATAAGGGTAACTGCCCTTCTGGTCAGGATCTCTACCCGTCTCCCATCCCACCTACGCAGGGGGTCTCGCGAAAAGCCTCACATTCTTTTCCTACACCTCTCTCGACCGTCGACCATCGTTTTCCTGTCCAACTAACCCCGCCAATTCACAGGAACATCACGATGTCTCACCGCAGTACGTTTTAGCGCCCATTCCGCTCCTTTCCATTTTGTCGCGCTCCAATTGCGCTTCAACCACACGAATATCGACAAGAATGAAGGCTTACGGTTCACATAGAGTACGAGGCTCCTCGCCACGGTTCGCTGGCTTACCTGCCGCGCAAGCGTGCTGCTCGCCATCGGGGCAAGGTGAAGAGGTCGGTCATCCCCTGTTTCTTCGTTCTCCCTGTTCTCTGGAGTTTCGTGGAATTTTTTGGGAATTTCCTCGATTTTCCCGAATTTTGCGCGAAGACTTCAGAACTTTTCAAGATCACGAAGCTAACATCATCGTCTCTCTACAGCTTCCCCAAGGACGATGCTCGCAAGCCAACACATCTCACTGCCACTATGGGATATAAGGCCGGCATGACCACGATCGTTCGCGACCTCGACCGTCCCGGCGCCAAGGCCAACAAGAAGGAGGTGGTTGAGGCCGTCTCCATCATTGATACCCCCCCTGTACTAGCAACGCAGCCCGCTTGGCTTTGTGCCTATGGCTAACATCTTACAGGTGATCGTTGTTGGTCTTGTGGGCTACATCGAGACTCCCCGCGGTCTTCGCTCTCTCACCACCGTCTGGGCCGAGCACTTGTCCGATGAGCTCCGCCGCCGCTTCTACAAGAACTGGTACAAGTCCAAGAAGAAGGCCTTCACCAAGTACGCCAAGCAGCACACCGAGTCCTCCGGCGCCAACATCACCCGCGAGATCGAGCGCATCAAGAAGTACTGCACCGTCGTCCGTGTCCTCGCCCACACTCAGATTCGCAAGACTCCCCTCAAGCAGAAGAAGGCCCACCTCATGGAGATCCAGATCAACGGTGGCTCCGTTCCCGAGAAGGTCGACTTCGGCTACGGCCTCTTCGAGAAGCCCGTCGAGATCGACACCGTCTTCGAGAAGGACGAGGTTATCGACGTCATTGCCGTCACCAAGGGCAAGGGATTCAACGGTGTCACCTCTCGTTGGGGCACCAAGAAGCTTCCTCGCAAGACTCACAAGGGTCTCCGCAAGGTCGCTTGTATCGGTGCTTGGCATCCTTCCCACGTCCAGTGGACCGTTGCCCGTGCCGGTCAGGACGGATACCACCACCGTACCTCTGTCAACCACAAGGTTTACAGAATCGGCAAGGGCACCGCCGACGACAACGCTGCCACTGAGCTTGACGTCACCAAGAAGACCATCACTCCGTATGTTTCGCCGCCTTCTGTTCAGCCACGCGCAACTGCTAACACGTTCCCAGCCTCGGTGGCTTCGTCCGCTACGGTGAGGTCAAGAACGACTTCGTCATGGTCAAGGGCTCCATCCCCGGCCCCAAGAAGCGTGTCGTCACCCTCCGCAAGTCCATGTGGACTCACACTTCCCGCAAGGCCCTCGAGAAGATCGACCTCAAGTGGATCGACACCTCGTCCGAGTTCGGACACGGTGCTTTCCAGACGCCGGCGGAGAAGAAGCAGTACCAGGGTACTCTCAAGAAGGACCTTGCTACCGCTTAAACGGGGAACGATTCACTTTCATTGTATCATGGTCATGGCATAGGTGTCGAGGGTTCTTCACGTTACTATTCGGATGGTTTGGGACACCTCAAAAGAGGTTTAAAATGAGTGCCGGAATCAAAAAGTCAAACCAATGAATGATACCTAGATGACCATCCCATTTGCATGTGTTTGTAGAGACTCTTGCTCAGATTTGCGCAATTGACGAATTTCGCCAATATTTCGATGGACTTTTCGGATTTTACGGCGCATATTTTCCTGTGCGCTTGTGGCGCTCGTTTCTTACCCCTGCATTTTTGCTATCTTATCTTATTCCTCTTGTTTAGACTCATTGTGGCGCACCCGGCAACCACCGCATGGTGGGGTATCCCGGTCCGACCACTCGCAGCGGTGTGAGGCGTGGCTAGCCGGCGCGTTGCGTCATTCCAACTGCCCAACCATACCTTGCATGCTCACCCGCGAACCAGCCGCGACCACGACCCCTCCTGCCTTATAACCACAGCTCCCCTCGACCCCGCCATCCTTACGAATGAACGCGACTACGCTACCTCGATCACTCGCTAGAAATCTCTACCGCAGAGCATTTCGCCCCATCACACAAACGAACAAGGCGATCAGAGCTCGATCGCACCTCTCCCAACCCGTCGCACGAAGCTTTGCTACGACGACACACCACCTCAAGATGTCCGACGCGGATTACGCTGCCTTCCTGGACAAGGCGAACCAGGACCCCAACGAGGGTTACGCGAAGCCGGCTGCCACCAAGAAGGGCGAGTTCAAGGCGCAGGACGAGGGCGCGGAGGTACCGAAGGCGATTCAGGATGTATTGAAAGAGGACAAGGTGTATGTCTCTGATGCGGACGAGCCGTTTGTAGGCGTTGCGCTGGCGTGGGATGAGGACGGCAAGGGACTGCCTGATGAAGGTTGGTATCATGGCTGCTGCACGTTTGCAGAAGGTTGGTGCTAATGTTGCGGGTTGTAGTCGAGTTTGCGCAGCTTATCCAGCACCCCGATCCCGAGAACGCCGACGTCGAGCTCCAGGACCCCGTCGACTGGGACGCGAATGGCGACTACAAGGACATCATCGAGGCGGTGCGCAAGGCGGGCAAGGGCAACGACGTGAGGGTTTATGTGGTGCCCAAGGGCGGAGTGAGGACGGAGTACTGGCTTGTCACAACGGAGGGCAAGGGTAAGGAAGCGAAGCTTGTTGGTGTGAAGGCTCTGTCTGTTGAGAGCTAGACTCTTCTCATACATCATGCGAATGTTTGAGAGAAGGTCTCTGAAGAAGACATGATAAAGTGCCAAATAAAGAAGAGCACAAGTTTGATACCCAAGAAACGACACCAGTGGATCGATGGCGAGCTACACTTAGTTGTGGCTATGAGAGCTGGAAACCAAGTCAAGTGTTCTTGGCCATGCTCAGTGAACACATCACAAATTCTGGTCTCACGATGTCGGAATACAACACAATGAGATCAGATATTCCATGCACAGGCGGGGATCGCAACGACAACATTCAACCTCGTCTTCATGGACATGCCCTTCATGAGTCACCTACCCACGATTCACAGCATCAGGAACAAAACATCATGTGAACGCCGCCCAAAGAAGATTTCTATTTCCGTCTACCATTATTTACTCGCAGCCTGCTGTTGCTCGTAATACAGCTGTTCCGCTGTCGTTACGCATTGCATGTTTGCGCCGAGCTTGTTCATCGTCTCCATCCACTCATCATACCTATGAAAAGGTCAGTATAAGTCGTCACAATGAAAAGGGGCTGAATACTTACTCATCTGAGTCAAACACAATACCACCACCTGTCACCAGTGTCAGCTTCAATGTGTCACCTCATCACACATAGGGGTAAACTCACCGGCTTGCAGGTACGCAACGCCATCTTTCACAAGCATCGTTCGCAGTGCGATGCAAGTGTCCATAGCACCCTCAACCTCCTCGCCCTTCTCGTCGAGGCCGCCATACCCAAAGTACCCCACCGCACCGGCGTAGATACCTCTCTTCTCCTGCTCCAGCTCGGCAATCAGCTCCATCGCCCTGACCTTGGGCGCGCCCGACACCGTGCCGGCAGGGAAGATGCTGCGGAAGGCGTCGAACCTCGTCTGGTCCGGCCTCAGCACGCCCGAGACTTGCGACACCAGGTGCTGCACGTGGCTAAACTTCTCCACGACCATGAGGTGGTCCACGCGCACCGTGTACGGGTCGCCCACGCGGTTGACGTCGTTGCGCGCCAGGTCGACCAGCATGACGTGCTCCGCGCGGTCCTTCAGCGAGCTGCGCAGCTCGTCCGCCAGCCGCTGGTCCTCCTCGGGCGTCTTGCCTCGCTTCACCGTGCCCGCGATCGGGTGCGTGATGACCCGCCCGCCCTCCGACTTGACGAGCAGCTCCGGCGACGCGCCGACGATCTGGAAGTCCTTGCAGTTGACGTAGAACAGGTACGGCGACGGGTTCACCGTGCGCAGGTGGCGGTAGATGTTGAAGGGGTGCAGCGACGTCGGGCGGGCGAAGCGCTGCGAGGGCACCGCTTGGATGATGTCGCCCTTGACGATGTGCTTCTTCAGCGCCGTGACGTGCGCCTCGTACCCCTTCTGGCCGACGTTGGAGGTGTACTCCTGGCCCAGCTTGATCGGCTGCTGCTCCGGAAGCGGGATCTCGGGGGCGTTGAGCACGGTGATGAGCTCGTCGATCGTCTGTGTCGCCTTTTGGTATTCCGCCTCCAGCTGGGAAAGGTCCTCGGGGACGTTCAGGTATGTGATGACCTTGATCACGCCGTAGAACCTATCAAACGCCACAATGGTGTCGAAGAGCATGAACAGACTCTCGGGGATCTTCAAAACGTCCTTCATCGGCCGCGCCGTCTTGGGCTCAAAGTAGCGGACGCAGTCATACCCGACGTAGCCCACGGCACCGCCCGCCATGGGCGGCAGCTGCAGGCCCGGCACATGCGCGACGACATGGCTCGCCAGCTCGGCCTCGAGGGCCGGTAGGGGATCGCATTCCGGGCCGTATCCGGGGCCTGTGGCGAGGACTTTCCTGGGACCGGCGCCGACGAAGCTGTAGCGGCCAACTCGCTCGGTGGCGGCGCTCTCGAAGAGGAAAGAGTAGTCGGAGTCCTTGTGGGCGGCGGAGACCTTCAGGTAGGCGGCGGAGGGCGTGATCAGGTCGGAGGAGATCTGGCGGTATACGGGGACGAGGGTGGGCTTCTTGTTGCCGGCGGGGGCGGACAGGACGGACCTGACCGTCTCGAGGGACGGGACGACTGCGCGCTGGGTGGACATTGTTTGGTCAGTGAGACGGTCAGAGGCGCGCGGCGGCGTCAATTGGGTAGGACCGAAGACATACAGGTCCCGACATTCTGTTCCGGTCCGCTGACGAAGGTGATTATGTGTTGGTGACTTGTAAGACGGGTGATTTCGTGGTTTGTATCTGAGTCACCGCAATCGATTAGATTAATGTCGGCTCCGGGGAGCTACAATTATTTAGCTTGGGGTTGCTGCATGGCGCGGACTTGGAGGGGTGACAGGGTCCGATAAGCGGAAGGTCACTGCCGGAGCTTTGCGATAAGGCGAAACCAGCGTCCATTTGTGGCAACCCCGCGCTGAACGGCGGCGTCTCATGGAACAAAGCTCCGTGCCCCCATTGTTTTCCGCTAGTTGAGTCCTGGAATTGTGGAAGTGGAGCTAAAGAACGTTGACGATGTCAGCTCTGTTGACTTTATGTTCTTTGTTCACTTTTGAGTGTCAACATGGCACTTCAGAAACATGCTCAGCTCTACGCCATGGAAAATCCAGCGTCGTCTATAAACTTGCGGGCCAGTGTGTATTCCTGTTGAAGCACCAGAGTACGTCATAGAAGCCAAGCATCATCAGCTTCAGCATCGTGAGAACATTCAATCTCAAAGAGTTCCATATGTTCCGTCATAATCATCCGCAGGAGGCAAATTACAGCATATCTTTTCTTCAGCGTCATTTTGGCTAGGACAAGACCACTTGGATCCGAGTCGCTTCGATCTTCGTCCTGTGCACACTGCGGCGGACGTAGTGTTCATAAGATCGCAAGCTCCTTCAAAGTTCACGGCACAAGGTTGATCGAGAATGCTTCAGACTGGATCATCATGCCCTATCTCGGCCCATACTTATCAATTTCTGAACCATCACCTCATACCTGGTCAACAACTAACATGCTTGGATGTATGATGTCTTATTCACTGTGATTCTCAGGATATCTCCTCCATTATAGCCAATGCACCCACCAACCCTTGCCAGATCCCAGTGCCCGCCTGCGTAGATGCTTTTGTAACTCTCTATCCGTATCCCCAGAAAAGACTGTCATGATCTCATAAAACGCTCCTCGAAACAGCTCAAAAAAGATTATACGAGGGTATAAAAACCGATCCAACACCAAGAGCGACGGTGGCTAACCCAGCCCATAGCGCCGCTCCAGCGACAACGCCGTCTTGCAGGATGCGCAAGTGTTTGTTCTTGCTCACTATGCTCCTCTCAAACACTTTTCGAAACAAGGACCGCTGCTCGTACGTGGCGACCCATTCTTCATTCAAGAAGACGTTCTCGGGGCCAAAAGTCTGTAGTGTAGGTTTGCGCAGCGGGTCCACGGCTCCCGAGACGCTTTCCGATGTAGCAGCCCGGCGGTGCCGCTTGTCGGCCCCGGTCCCGGATTCCAGGTCCGGCACCTCCCATGGCCGGACGTGTCGTCGATGTGATAGGTGGAGGGACAGTGATACGCCGTCCAACGCAGCTACCAGGACTGCCAGGCCGGAGAAAATTAAGGGCGCGGATAAGAGACGGTAGTACCGTGAAATGGATGAAAGAATGAATGCAATGTCGAGACCCAGCCCGAGGATGAAGAGAAAGAAGCCAACGCCGCGGAGAAGATGTGTTGCCGTTGGGTTGGTGTTGGAGATGTTGTGGCGGATGAAGTTTGGGTGCAGCTTGCCGCGGAGTAGGGCCTCGGCCTTTTCGAATGCTAGCAGTAAAGCAGAGGGGTGTGTTGTCGAGGCCGTAGCAGTCAAAACGGATGTGCGGTCGTCCTTTGTGAGGTTCAGACGCCGTGGGGCGTTGGGGTTGATGTAGTGATTTACGATGGTGGAGATGTCGGAACCGAAGGGTTGAGATGACGGGGATGCTGAAGTATGTCAGCTTCATGAAGATCAAGAGAATATCTCACGAGAATCCCGCCGTGAGGAGTGAATGGAATCTTACCAGCCTCTGACATCGTCTCCCCCGCTTCCTTCTCATCCCCCTTCATACAAGTCCCTCTTGGATGAGAAAAGTTTGTCGCGGCCGATGCGTTGCGGTTGTGCTTCCCAGCCGGACTCTTTCCATCCGCCCCAATATTCGTCTGGTTACTCTCCTCGTCGAGAATCTCCAGAATATTACTGACTTTGCTCGAGTTCTTCGCCCTTCTTTCCTTTGAAGTGAGCTTCTTGCCCCGGTACGGATCCCAGCGTGGCGCGAGAGCACGTTCTTCGGGCGAGAGAGTGGTCCACGTCTGAACATAGCTGCAGTACCAGAGAAAGAACTGGAGGGGCTCGGCATCTTGCTCGACGTAGACGAGGTAGTCCATAAAGTCGTTCAGTGAGCATGGCTGACGATAATGTTAGTGAGGTGCCCTGAACTCCAACACATATGTCTGCTTGAAGCTCACCGATGCCGTGTTGTTCCTGATTATCTCCTCAAAAGCCAGCCGGGGCGGAATCCACTTGTTGCTTCGCCTCGTTCGACGACGGTACCGCCGGCAGTCCTCGTCCATGACCGGCGGGCGCCACGGCCGCTCGGCGCCGGGCGTCTTGTAGAACCTGAGCGACATCTCGGCCGTCCTTGTGCGGCCTCACTCTGTCGAGCCTCCAGCTTCAAGCTGTGCGAGTGTGGATGCGTTTGCATATGCAGTTGTGCTGAGGGACAAGTCGAACCGCTGGTCCGATGCAGGAAAATGTTTGTCCTTCCACTGACACCCAGACCTTCCGAATCGGTGTGGGTGGGCGGTGGCCCGGTCTTTGTATAAGACGTCGAGAAACAGATCCAGGGTTCCAAGAGAACAAAACACTAGCTTCGAGATGTGCGCCGCAGATGCGCGTGCGCGACTGCGACGCTACATATAAGCACAAAACTCGAGGTACAGTAGCCGCAGACCGCTACATGCGCACCCGTCATTCCCGCACCCACAGGACTCCCAGCCTGCGTCTGCCCTGTCTGCCTCAGCTTCGTCCGACGTAACAGCCGTGGGAGCAGAACTGCTGGCTCTGCGCCCCAGGGAATGACATGGGGAGAGAGCGACAGAAAGGAGGCCGGACCATCGATGCAACGGAACCACGCGGCGATGGCGGCCGGGTTTCTTGCGTGCGTGTGTTGGCCCCTCCCCGGTATGAGATGCTGCAGGAAGGTCTTGCTTGTGACCCGTACTGCTGCTGCGATGCCGTCTTATCAAGTTGGCCAGGTATAATATCAATCCAAAAAGAGGGACGGACAGGCACCCTGGATGCGGCGGCCGGCAAGGGCGGGGCTCTGTATCCCTCTCTCTTTCGCTTCTCCCTCATGATTTTCTCGCGTATCGGCGGCTGGGGCGGGGGGTAACTCCATATGTCCAGGATTGACTTGTGTGAAAAACACGGGACGACGAGGAAAAGGGCAACAGATCACAGTGGCAGGCCCAGCCCGGGACGCTCGTCTGCCGGGGCAAGGCGCGAGTAAGCCGTGATATAGGCCATTATAGGCTCGGTCTGGCGCGCCGATGACGAGATGTGAAGAGTGTGGAGGAGAGACGCACGGAATGATCTACCAAGTTTGCTTTTTCGCCCTCGCTTCACGACGAAGCAAGCACTCGCTGCCTCGGACCGTGATTCGTTCTCTAGCCTAGTAGAGTATCAAAACGAACAAACCCGAATAGGAAAAGTGAGGGACGACGATGCTCCAACCCTCCCACACGTACTGTCATTTGGCGTGGCATGTCCTGCGTTTGCTGCGTCAGCCTGGATGGACCTGGTCAGAGACCCATGACAGCGGTTCCACGGATTGTCGCGCGGGCGTGCCTGGCACCTGCGTGAAGGCCTCTCTCGTGGCTGCGCTTCTGCCTGTCCGGATCTGCCAGAGGCGTGCAGGAGGGTGTGCAAGTACGACGAAAGAGACAGCCAGCGTCACGAGACAGGACAGGACAAACTGACGGGGCAGTTCCGGACGATGGTGAGGTGCCAGAGCGTTGCGGGTGGGCGTTGATTGGGGAGAGCAGAGCCGGAGCCCACATGACGTGAACGGGCTGCTGGCCTTGTTTCAAGGGAACGTGCAGAGTGCAGATGGTGAGGTTGGAAGAGTTGAGAAGAGACGGGGTCAGGTCACGGAGAGGACGTCGAGGCTGGGGCAGCCAACGGCACACACCGATTGGCTCCACGGCGCGGCATCGAGTCGCGTTTCAGAACGTTCATCCTGTATCTCGTAGTCCTCGCTGCGGTGCGCCTGCCGGGGTGAGGCCGGTTCGGTTTGGGGGGATCCCGTCCGGTAGAGGGAGTCGGTCTGTTTTCAGGTAAGCCGCACCCGGGCACTGGCCGAGGTGATTTGTGATTATGATTCCAGTTGCGGGCTGCACTCTGGCCGGTGCAACTTGTAAGACATTCACAATACACTTACAGTCAGTGTAAGCTCTGACGAGCAAAGTGTGAATGACCTGCTGTGCCGCAAGCCACAAATGCAACGACGGGACGCCTGGTTTCTGCATATTCATGCTGCTGCCGACTTGCATAGCGATGCAGGTTTCTGTGAGGCACACCACTTAAAGCAGTCGAAATGCGGCTGACGTCCACAGATTGATCGACGGACTGACTTGCGGGTGCCCGCTGGCATCGCCCATGACTTGTGCTGCATATATGTATAACAGCATCCGGCCAAGGTATAAGATCAGAGTGTCAGTTGATGTGGATGGCCAGAGGAGTTTATGTTGCTACTGAGAGAATTTTTTGTGACGGGCCCCAGAATTTTCTAAACCCGTTCCTTGGAGGGTTTCCCCCTCGTTCTCACTCTACCGTATGCATTCTTCGCTGGTGGTGTGTCCTTGTTGTCTGTTGCCAAGTCCTCGACTCAACGCAGCTCAGACTCGGGGTTCTCCAGTCACGTATTTTTAGGGCCAACGATCCGGCTCAGTCGCACCGAGGGAGAGAAGGGGATCCGAGAAAGGAAAAAGAAAAGACAAGACGAAGGAAACAAAGCCGGGGTCACCTAGGGCTTGGGGGACTGTGGGTGCAGTCCCAGTCTGGTGATCAGATCGCCAGTGCGTCTCGTCAAGAAGAAAATCTGGAGATTCAAACGATGCGCTCAGACTCTGATGAGCCGGCTTCGAATTCGACGACAACAACAACACCATCAAAACTGCCTTTCTTGATTAGCGGCACCCGTCCAATCCAATCTTTCTTCGTCCTATAATCCACACCCTATAAGGTTACCGAGAATAGGACAAGATTCCGTCACGTCAAGTCAGCCCCAAAGTCAAAGTTGGTTCAGATTTCCTGTTTTTGTCATCTCTCGGCACCCGAAAGGAACGACAGAAAATCGGGTCGCCTCATGTTCAAAACCTTCTTCCCTCGAGATAAAGTACACGAGCCATTTTCTCGACCTGCGCTGCACTGCATTCTTTGGCTCTGGCTCCCAGAACCCCCCCTGGTCCCCGCTGACAATGGCACTCACCGAAGGCCGACAACGTTCCCCGGCCAAGCAAAACATGAAACCTGCCCACCCAGCGTCAATACCGAATGTCAAATATCACCAATATTGCCACGTCCAAGTCTCAATAGCGCGGCATTGGCATTCTGACAGAAAGGCCCGTCGTTCGGGCATTTTCGTTCTAGTGTGCTTCCCATCTTCCCGCGCGCGATCAGCTGTCAATGACAGACTGCAGTTATCAAGAACTGGTACAAGTCATCACCTTGTGTGTACGAGTAGACATGCTTTCTCTCGCATGAAGATGTACGAAGGAAAACACGGCTGGCCTGTGTTTCTGGATGCCTTCTAGATATCGAACAATTCGAAAACATTAAGATCGACCCGATCCGTGACAGCAGGCAGATCTGAAGGCGACGTTATGCCGCCTGCCAGCAGAAAAACGGAAACCTCGTTTTCATCAAGATCATCATGTGTAGCGTCGTGTCCATCTTATGGGCAAGATGCCGAGCGGAGCAGCAATCTTGATACACAACCAGAAGAAACTCGCATGGTCGGTCTGTCATAATACCATTATCTATGCCCCAAGGCATACTCAACCATCGACATCTCCTACGATGGCACCTTGACACAATCGACTGCACACCCCCATTGGATCTCAGATATGTCCGTGCCCACACGGTTAGCATGATGACAGGCGTCTTGACGTGAATGCCACCCGCGGCGATCCCCTCTTACAAAAAAAGCAATCCGTCAAACCTCCTTCTCGGGTTGCGACTGGCTCCAGAGACCATGGATCTTACTCAGCCCCCTTCTGCCGTTTCCCATCATCCCCCCTGCCTGTCACACGCAATGCTCACCCCCGCGGGCCAACGACATACAAGAACAACTACGCCGACGACAACACCGTCCCACTTGGGAAATCAGCTCCCATGTGCTGTTGCAGCTTACACTGAGCAGCCCCTCATGTCGAGCTGTTAGAGCTTGTGGGTGACCATTCAGCTGCGTAGAAGCATCATAGCTGCCCAGAGCCTGGGACGGGATTGACATAAAACAGGCCACCAAGACGCAGGAGAGCACAAAAGAAGAAATGCCGGGGAAGTCTGCCAACAGGTCTTCTGTTTTGCCTTGTATCGAGAGAGCCTACTAAACCGGCATTGAGGGGACAGTCGTTTCCGTGAAGGAACGTCTACCTTCCGAGAAGTCTTTCTTATTCCAAGTAAGCATACACCCTAAGAATGACCTCGAAAGCAGTGTTGCTGCCATGGCCATTGCCTCTATTGCACCACCAGGACCTTTCTCGTCCCTCAACTCGTAATATTCCCCCTAATCCATAACGTCGATTCATGCCCCTCACTGCCCTATGACTGCTTGATATCTCGGTCCCTTAAGCATTTTCGATGATTTGCCACGCGATCCAAGCTGCAACCCATGGCAATACGTTGTCTCTTGCCCACTGTTCAGATGCCCCCGCGGATATTAGAACATCGCCGTCCCCGACGTTGGTCTCGCACATGCATCCAGAATCAAAACCGGTATTACTGATGCTCATGAGAAGCGGTCGAGGTTTCTCCTGGACGCTAATGGACGTCTCATTTGTTGCAAGAGTGTTGTTAAAAAGAATAGGAGTGCTCCGCAAGCTGGTATTGAGTAAAGATGTGGCATTGTCTTGAGGACAGTGCTTTTCTATGTGATTCTCGATTGGCCCCCATGAAACGAGAACGACGCAGGATATCGCGGCGGTAGCACAAATGCCGTTGGTGAAGCCTTTGAGCCAAGCCCTGTGCATTCGTCTTCTTATGTGCTTTTCGGGGTCAGGAGTAGCGTCGCCCATTCCGATGCAGATAGATTTAACGGCGGGAAGAGGTGGCAGCTGCAAATATCGACAGCGATAGGGTATGATCCAAACAATTCAAATGGCGACGTTGTTGACGACGGTAGATGTCGACAACATGAACGTAACGAATCGGACCCAGACTTAGGTAATTATCATTGGAAGCATCGTGGATGGCACTTGTCTTCTGCACAATAGCCGAGTGTTCTTCCTGCTCGGAGTGTCAAACAGTACTTCGGAAGGTGTTGAAGAGTTGACGGTGGTGGATGCCAAAGGCAAGCTACCTAGGATCCAAATTGAGATATTCATCTTGGCAAGCCTCGTGGATAGTTCTTGCTGTTAACGAGTCTAGCTCGCTCATGCTTCACCTGCTCTTTCTTCTTGATGGCATGGGTAAGTTATGGCTCGCGAGCGACGACTTTACATGTCCTCGGATTCGTTGCGGACAGCTGTTGTCATCTAGGACCGACTCAACCCCGCTCTTTCTGCTTGAAGTGTCAACCAATACTTAGAAAGATGATGTTGAGATGGCGATGGCTGATGCCCAAGACAAGCGAGGTTCCAAAGACAGGTTCTCACCATCGAAATCGCCTGATGGCCAGTCCTTCGTAGTCATGAGCCGGGCTCCTCCCTTCCCCCAAACATGCCACATAAAGAAGGAGGGCGAGACTATTGATCTGTCCTAGCAAAAAGTCACAAGATGGGAAGGAGCAACGATCGTGCGTGTAGACAGAATCCATTGAAAGGGCTTGAAGCCAAGTCCGTTATTGTCTATGTATTCTCGTAAACAACGCCTGGGTATCTCTTTTTTTCCACCCGGGTATTATCGATTAAACCGTCGTTAAACCTGCTCGCAATCCATGCAGAACAGAAAGCATCCGAAGCAATACTCCAACCCATCGTGTTCAGGGCACCAGCACATGTTGTGGCTCCTTCGCCGCACCGACTTGTGTGTACAAGTCGACATAAGGCTGCACCTGTACGCCTGCCAGAACAACAACGCCGTATGCAAATGCCATGCCGTAGAAAGAAAAAAGAAAGGTATCGTGTCTTCGCCAAGTGGGTATCAGCCGTGATTCCGTCCATCGTGAAAGTGTATGTTCAAAATTTACAAGTAGAGAAAAGTGATTTCCGTGTGCGGGTTACATCCACACGGTGAAAAAGATCATCACACCGACAAGACCGATTGCCATGCCGGCGATCTGTTTGGTGCCGGAACCTGAAGGCCTCTCGGGGGCCGAGGACTTGGCAGATTCAGTCGGCGCTGCAGAGCCAGAGGCGGACGTGCTTGCACCAGGCTCCGCTGTTGGCGTCGAAGAGTAGCTGCCCTTGAAGGTCTCCCCGAGACTAGGCAGGGCGACATTGCCGTCAACAAGCCAGCCGCCGGTGGCCTTTGGACATTCTCGGGTAGAGACACTGCTTGGGTTGTAGTCGGACTTCATGACACCGTTGGGTGTGATGCTAGCCCACTTGGACTGGAGATTCTGAAACTCTGGAGAACGAGGGATCGGAGTGCCCTTGCGGGTGAAGCCGTCGTAAACATCGCCGGTGGTAATCGTCTTGGAAACTTCAGGGCCATAAGACACGATACCGTAGCGGTTCTCCTCATAGATCCACTCGTAGACCATTGCTCCGCTCCAGTCATCAACCATGGGCTGACTGAAGATGGCATCTTGGTCGTCCCAAGTCCGCGGGCCATCGCCGGTGATACATCCCGTCTCAGTGAAGAAGATGGGAACGGGAAACTGCTCAGCCATGGCCTGGAGGTTTGCGTAACCGGATGTGTTGTAGGTGTTGGGGTCGCACCACTCGTACGAGTTGAGTCCGAAGAAGTCAATGTTGTCCTCTGGCTTACCACCGCAGGTGAGGTAGTCCTGCAGCATGGGTCGCAACTCAGCGATATCGGCCGCAGAGTAGCCAACGGGAATCTTGCGATAACCCTTCTTGTCGCGGTAGGCCTTCATATCGCGTGCAGCAGCCTTCATGAAAGGGGCAACCTGAGACTGGTTGTTAAGCGCAATGATCTCATTGCCAACGAAGAAGCCGAGGACGTTGTCGTATTTCTCAAAGACGTCCATGACTTTGGCGTACGCATTGAACTGTGTCTCGTTCCAGTAGGGGGTATTCTACAAGACGCGTCAGCAAGGGAGCTCTTGGCTGCGTTGAGGTCAAACTTACTGGAAGAATATAAGAGTCAAAAGTGTCGAGGTCGATGAGGGTGTAGATGCCAGCCTTGTCGAAAGCAGCCATGCAACCGTCGTGGTTAGCATCGGGGTCGACATGGTATATACGAATAGCATTGGTGCCCAGGGTTTTCATGAGGTCCGCGTCGCGGGTGCATTGCTCGGTGTCGACGAGCGGATCATCTGAACAAGCTTCATGTTAGAGGGGATGCTGTGTAAGTGTGCAAAGGGTTGAGCTGGGCTAACCTGGCCTCAGTTGGTAGGCAATGCCTGCAGATGGCGTCAGCTTGCAACGTTCTGTAAACGAGGACGACGAATTGGGGCGGAGGCGGCAGAGGGCACAGAAACGAGTCAAGTGACGGAGACGAACGGTTGGCACGTACCTTTCATGAACCATTGTCTGCCCTTCTCGTCGAAGAACTTGTTGCCGAGGATTTCAATAGGTGCGAGCGCTGCGGCTGTGCCAAGCAGCACCGCCGAGAAGATGCTAGCGACTCGCATGGTGAGGAACGATCCGCAGTTCGAGCTGACGACAAGCTTCGGCTAGTGATAGCAAGTTTCGTAAGAGTTGAGGGCTCGATGATCGGTGATGTTTAAATGCTGTGGCCCCAAAAAGAACAGGTCCAAAAAAGCGTGCAAGTCCAAGTTGGTGATGTTGGTGTCTAGGATTGTTGTGATTTTTCCGACGAGAGACGCTTAAAATAAATTAAGCAACAGCAATGTTCGCAAGGCATACAGGTAGGCCTAACAGGTAGCGACTGTCGTCTGTGGTGGTTGTGGTTGCCGTTGTTGGCGTCTCTTTCCTTGTCCTTGCTGGTGTCTCTGGCCCTTCCTTCCCTGCGATTATCCCAAAGCTGAACCCCCAATACGTATTCCTTCCGTTGCAGGCTACTGCCACAACTGCGCAACGACTGACCCAAGGAGCCTTCTCGACGAAAACGACAATCAGGCGGAACCTCACAATCGAAGCAACCACGCTGAAGAACTGTCAAGGTGAGGCGGGAAAGGGCAACCTTGAAGGCAAGAAGGCCTGGAATATCGTAGGTGAGCAACTTCGGTTCGAGTGACGTGACTGACAATCGCATGGGGAACAGAAGCTGTTTTATTGCTGGTGCGCTCGACGCGGGACACACTCCGAATGAGCAAGAACAACATGGCCCTGGTTATTTTTTCCCACTCCCCCTGTCGCCCTTCTCACATCGCTCTTCTCTTTCTCTTTTTGGAATCGCATCCCACCTCTCCACACACGTGGAGGGCCAAACGAATGAGAGAGAAAAATGCCTACTTGACACTAAGGCAGGAGTCGGAGCTTGGAGCTCGCTGTGGTGCTAGCGACGACCCGGCCAGGGTGAAAACGACCGGCAACAGGGGTGCGACAAGAGGGCGAAAACGAACAAGGACTCAGGAGTTCAAGCTTGAAGCAACTGAACAAGGGCGGCTGCTTGGGTCTGGATCAGTGGAGGTGCGCCATGTTGTGCCATTGGCGGCGGGCCAGGGGGCAAGCTAAGGCATCTTGATTGTCGCCCTCGCCCGGCCGCGAACTCGCAGAATCTGACTGGTTCTTTGCGACATGGACGGCCTCATTGGGGGCAACGAGCCTGCCTGCCTCGACGCAAGACAACCAGCCTGCCGCAGTAAGCAGGCAGCCACACTCTGCCACCATGCGACTCTGCAAGACGTCGACGCGTCTCTCGGCCTACTCGACGGATATGGAATATGACGACTTCTCTCCAGGGCTGATGGACTCCCCAGAACCCTTCCGCTCCTCCTGGCCTCCCTCTCCCGTTCTCCAGTATTCAGACATGCCGTCCGACAGAGCGGGGAGAGGGAATTGAGCGGAATAACCTCACGTTACCTAAGGCGACGCCGATCAAGAGGGAAAAAAAGATCGCGATCGTCGTCAAAACTTGCTGTTCTCTTCCTGTATCCCCCCACGACGACCACGGACGGAGGCCGCGCGCCACCCACCCGAAGCCACACCGTCTCTGATAGCTGTCCAACCAACCCGCACCATTGCTGTCCCAACCCGAATATTGGCCCGCAGCTTGTCGTGTCCTGTTCCGCTAAGGATAGCCTCACGCAGCTACTTCCTCGCCACGAGTCGGGGGGCCGGGAAACGGACCGAGCTTTCTCACTGATGCGTGCTAGGTTATCAGCCAGGAGAGCTTTTAGCGTCCCGGCAAAAAGCACCAAAAGACGGACGACAAACGCCAACAGCGGCATCTCTTAATCGCCACGCTGCTATTTGGCATTTTCCTTCTTTCAAGTTACCATGTTCTCAATCAAGAGTCATGTCGCTCTAGGGGCCCAACAATCAGTTTGTTTCTCGGCCTGTCCTTGTTCACTGGGGGCAACCAATTCAACGGCGAAAATCCCGCCTGTGTTTAGCTTGAAACTCATGGCAACGCGACGACCTAATCTCCTCCTCGGTCTGCTCTAATTCTGTTCCACCTCGCCTGCTCTCATCTGGACCGGCCTACGGGGGCATCGCCCAGATTAGCGACACTTACACCACATTTAGGGCACGGCTTGAAATTGTCTTCTATTCCTCACGGCCCCCAATGGTGGACGACGGCGGCAACACGGCAAAAAAGGCGGCGGCCTGCTGATAGCGTCTCTGTCATAATGAATATGACGCAACGCACTCAGCGTAGCGTCCCATTCAAATCCCTCTTGGCTCTGCAGTCAGGCAATTCTTGACGCGAACCAGGGTAAGCTTAACCCTGGTTCCATCCTCTGCTCTCGATCCTTGTCCGCTGCCGTTGCAACGGTGATTGCAAAAAAAGATACCAGAAACTCAGGCGGCTGTTTCGTTTG